GAGGTAACTAACAAACCCTAGAGTATGCTAGATATGAGTTGAGGGCCAGGGAGAGCATGCCAGACTTATACTGAGGACTTCTAAGTATTCCAGATGCGAGCTGAGGGCCATGGGAGCATGTCAGACTCGCACTGAGGGCTGATTATTTAGTTTCCAGTTTTAGGATTGAAGGGACAAGCCAGTCATAAGTTGTGGGCTCGAGAGCAAGCCAGACTTATGTTGTGGGCTCGGGAGCAAGCCATATATGAGCTGTGGGCCTGAACGTCAAGTCAGTCTCATACTATGGGCTTGGGGGTAATCCAGTCTGCGAAGCTGTGGACCCATTACATGTTGTTATTATGTGTGCTATTTGTTATGTATCGGTATTTTGGGGAAACTACTAAGCTTCCGGCTTACAATTTTGGATTTTGTTTCAGGTACTTCGGATGATTGCGGGAAGACGAATGTTTGATCGTACACCTCCTCTTATTTTATGATTTTGATTTATGGGATACTTTGATATGAAACTATTTTGAAAATAATTTGTAATTAAATTGTGTTTTTGAATGTTTGAAAAAGTTTTAAATTTTCATGAATTTTATGGATGTTACAAGAACGCCCATTATAGAACACCAGATCCAATAACAACAGATTTGAAGAAGTACCTGTCTGAAAACAAACGGGCAAATGAAGCAGATTTGAAGGCAATAAAGAAGAAGATAGATGAAGTGGTTGGCGATGTTGTAGAGTTTGCAGACGAAAGCCCTGCTCCTCAAAAACCTAACTACTACAAAATGTGTTTGATGATCCAAGAGGCTTTGGAATTGGATCTGATGGCAGTTACATGTGTGAGATGAGGACCCCAAGTTTACTCAGGACATTATTGTTAATCATTTTTTATTGTTGTTTTCAACTTTTCTTATCATAGTATTGTATTTTAAAATATCTGCCTAATTATAGCAATTAAATATGTATTGTGAAACTAGAAACAACCAGGAAAAAAAAAAAAAAAAAAAAAATTCCCAAACCCGTAACAAAGCGAGGACACATCCTCTAGTTTATATATAAAATGCTATTGAAAGCTATCTCATACTTTCGACAACAATTTTATAATTGTCTAGTAATGTTTTTTCCCCTCCCACCAAGAAAAATTAAAGCTTTTTTGTTTCAATTGTATGTATATAAACCATAATGAAAAAATAAAAAAAATTAAAGCTTAATTCAATTGTCATCAAGTACACACTCAAGTGTGTTAGCCTAATTCTAAGCTACTTAATTCTTTATTTTTTCTTTATCAAACGGCTTCTTAAAAAAATTTATGACCATCATTATGATCCACTTTGTATTAGTTGGAATTCCTTTAGGTATAATTACTATTTTATTTTAAAGGACTCGGTTTCTTTTTTTTTTTTTTAAATGTTGTTAAGTTTGTGGTTCGATGATTTGAAGTTCAAATAAGTTTAATGATGATTTGTTTATTGTTTATCATGTTAGATATGGTAGCTGGTAGTGTTGGTCAATTTGTATTTAATATGCCTTTTTCAAAACAAGAAAAACTCGAACGTCTAAAGAAAATAAAAATTTGATGTTTTAGAAAAACAAAATATGAATTATTGATAATTATAGTTTGAAGACTTCAACTATTGGACCACTTGTGGTACACATGTCACTTACCTGCTAACAAACACACCTAACATATTTATTAGCCTTCAATGATATTAGTTAACGGTCAAACGCTCAGTCCCTCATTCATACATAATACATACAACTTTAGATACATATATTACATACACCATTAGGTTAAAAGGTATGGTAGCAGTTTTGATCATGGTAAAAATGTGACATATATATGCCAGGTATGATTTTATCATTTAATTTACCTATGAGTAGGATGTGATGATATTTTTACATATGAAAAAAAAAACCTTTAAATCCTACGTGATATGTAGGATTTTATTATTTAATTTACTTATGAGTGGGGATTTTATTATTTAATTTACTTATGAGTGGGATGTGATGATATTTTTATATATGAAAAAAACCTTTAAATTCCCATTGACCAATCAATAGTTAAATATCATAATTTACCATCGATGGAATATTACCTATGAAATTTACCATCGGCAAAAAAATTTGTTGGGGTGGTGTTTACTACTAGTAAAACAAGTCACTCAGCTTACCGATGCTAAATATATAGGACACAGTCTAGTCTTACTAATACATAAAATTAAAAAAAAAAATGAAATACCCCAAATCACATTCGATTATAAGGAAAATAAATATTTTATTAAAATATATCTTGTTAATTATTTGTAATATTCTTTTATCTTATAGTTTCATATATATATATATATATATATATATATATATATATATATATATATATATATATATATATATATATATATATCCCTATTCTAATAAAAGAGTATTTATTTGACATGTGTCACTATATTAGACATTTTAATTAATGTGTTGACAATTATCAATCTATTAGTTTTTCATTTTAAATTTATTAGACATCCTTATTAATGTGATATTATTTTTAATGTATTTATTTCCTATTACAAATTTAAATTTAAATTTTAAATTTTATATTATTGTTTTCATTAATTCACAAATAAAAAAAGACTAATATATATTAAAAATTAATTTTACATATTTATTTGAATCAACAATTATAATTTCACATAATTAATAAAAGTATCTCTTAAATAATAATTTATTTAATATAATTGATTAATAATTTTGAATTTTACTATAAAAGCTTAATTAATTTTATAACTGTGGTTTCCACGGGTTATAAACTAATATATATATATATATATATATATATATATATATATATATATATATATATATATATATATATATATATATATATATATATATATATAACCCTAATGCTTATAATACTTACTACACAAAATTACAAAAATGGTCCCTGTGGTTTGTCAAAAGTCACAAAGGTAGTCCCTGCTATTTTTTTTTGATGCAAATGGTCCTTGTGGTTTGTAAAACTTGCAAAGTTGGCCCTTTTTACTAACGCCGTTAGGGACTGAATCTCTAAGGGCATTTTCGTCTTTTCAAGTATAAAGGGACTGAAATCGTGACATTTAATAAACCACAGGGACCATTTTTGAAAATTCTTTGAAAAAATGAATTAATTTGCTGAAGGAAGGAGGGAATTTTCGAACTCCCGACCTCCACCTCCCTTTATTGCCAAAGTCTTAACCAGTTGAGCTGAATGCTCAGCTAGTTATTTGTTCCTAAAGCTAATATATATAATAATGAAACCGTTAATATTTAAATAATAAATAAATTAAAAAAGCATTTTTTTACCTAATTTTTTTTTAATAAAACAAAATGTATTTTAGTCGTATTATAAAAAAATTTACAAACAATTTTTATGTATTTATTTTACGTAAATATATTTTTTATGTGTTTAAAATATACATTTTCGTATAAAAAATACTTTTTCGTAAAATATATTCTTTTATGACTTTGAAATAATATTAATTAATACTACTCATTACATAAAAAATATATATAAGTTCTTTTGGGTAGCTAGTTCTCAAATATGTATTTCATCTTATTTTTAACATACATATTTCATTTTATTTAAAATACGTATATCATCTTTATTAAATACATATAACCGAAAAATGGTTTTAAAAAAACCGATTGAACCAATCGTTTTGTATAAACCGTTTTTTTTTTTTTTTTTTTTTTTTATTTTTTATTTTTTATTATTATTTAGATACATAACAAAATCGTTGTTCAGTTGTTTTTAATACACATAACCGAAAAACCGGTTTTAGAGCTTGCAAACAAAAAGAATTTATATATTTTTTTATGTCATGAGTAGTGTTAAGTATTATTATTTCAAAGTCATAAAAGAATATATTTTACAAAAACATATTTTTTTCGGTTATGTGTATTAAAAACAACTTAACAACGATTTTGTTATGTATCTAAACAAAAAAAAAAAAAAAAAAAAAAAAAAAAAAAAAAAAAAACTGTTTTTACAAAACGATTGGTTCAATCGGTTTTTTTAAAACCATTTTTCGGTTATATGTATTTAATAAAGATGATATACGTATTTTAAATAAAATGAAATATGTATGTTAAATAAGATGAAATACGTATTTGAGAACTAGCGACCCAAAAGAACTTATATATATTTTTTATGTAATGAGTAGTATTAATTATTATTATTTCAAAGTCATAAAAGAATATATTTTACGAAAACATATTTTTTATACGAAAATGTATATTTTAAAAACATAAAAAATATATTTTACATAAAATAAATACATAAAAATTGTTTGTAAAAATATATTTTTTTATAATGCGACTAAAATACATTTTGTTTTATTAAAAAAAAATTAGGTAAAAAATGATTTTTTAATTTGTTTATTATTTAAATATTAACGGTTTCATTATTATATATATTAGCTTTAGGAACAAATAACCAGCTGAGCATTCAGCTCAACTGGTTAAGGCTTTGGCGATAAAGGAAGTTGGAGTTCGTGAGTTCGAACCTTCCCTCTTTCTTTCAGCAAATTAATTCATTTTTTCAAAGAATTTTCAAAAATGGTCCCTGTGGTTTATTAAATGTCACGAATTCAGTCTCTTTATACTTGAAAAGACGAAAATGCCCTTACAGATTCAGTCCCTAACGGCGTTTTACTAACGGTGTTAGTAAAAAGGGCCAAGTTTGCAAATTTTACAAACCACAAGGACCATTTGCATCAAAAAAATTAGCAGGGACTGCCTTTGTGACTTTTGACAAACCACAGGGACCATTTTTGTAATTTTGTCTACTTACTAATATAAACATAATTTCACATTAAAACTTTTCTAATAATATCAATTTCAAATCATAATATCAACATATTTGACTTTTAAAAATCATAAGTCAAAATATTGGACGAAGATTGCATTAATATAAAACCATATAACACATAAACACTCAATTCAAACTTCCAAACTCTCTACATATCTTTACAAATTAAAGGATGGTGGAAAAAGAGCAGGTAAGACCATTGGCTCCGGCCATCGACCGACACCATACCGCCAGAGATGATGAAGACACAGTTTACAAAAAAACCACTCGCACAAGGAAATACGTTACGTGGTTAATGCAAGAGATGATGAAGACACAGTTTACAAAAAAACCACTCGCACAAGGAAATACGTTACGTGGTTAAGTTGCATTCTTGCAAGCATAATCCTTCTAGCGGTGGTAGTTGTGATATTAATTTTCACGATATTTAAGATTAAAGAACCGGAGATCAAGATGAATGGTGTCATAGTCAACAATCTCCATTTTATAAATGGCACTATTCCAGAACCTGTGACCAATATATCTTTAACGATAGATATATCAGTTAAAAACCCCAATTTTGCATCTTTCACGTTAGCACAAGTATTTAGATTGCTATATTTGCAATAATGTACAACTCTTTGATTTATACTGTAATATTCCTTGTAATTCATATTTCTTTTAATACTCATTAATAGAACGAGTTATCAAATATTAAACATAATATCATTTTTTACCAATGTAGGTATAAGAACACGACAACAAACCTATACTATCGTGGGATGGTGATAGGGGTGGCACGGGGGCTACCAGGGCAGTCAAAGGCACGACGAACAACAAGGATGAACATTACCATGGACATCATGGTTGATAGGCTACTAGAAAACCCTAATTTACAAAGTGACATCGGTACAGGTTTATTGAACATGAGCAACTATACAATAGTTGGTGGTAGGGTCAAACTTTTAACTATTATTAAGAAACATGTGATTGTGAGCATGAATTGCACAATGAGAGTCAACATTATTAATAGAGCCATAGAAGACCAAAACTGCAAGAAGAAAGTTAAAATCTAAATTACTAGTCAATATTATTTTCTTTTATATGATTATATAGATATAAATAATCATTTGTTTTTGTATTCATTTTGTAATTGATGGTTCAATATGCTTTCGATCCTATGAGAAACAAAATTTTCGAAAGACAACGTGGGAAATGAATCAAATGCAGTTATTTTGACGAGCAAAGAAATGATCATTAAATGATACAAAAATATAATGATTCACAAAAAATCATCTGAAAAACGATTAAATTTGAGATTATTCATTAAAATTGTCCGAAAAAAAATCATTGTCCAAGTCACTAAAAAAATAAATCATTGAGGGGTTTTTCAGCCAATTTTTTGTAAATCATGTTATTTTTGTATCATTCAATGCTTCGTTTACTTGTTTTATCAAAAAACATGCAAATTCTTCAATTATTACGTTTCTCATGAAAGTTTTGTTTTCTCACTTTATCATATATATATATATATATATATATATATATATATACACACAGAGAGAGAGAGAGAGAAGAGAGAGAGAGAGAGAGAGAGAGAGAGAGAGAGAGAGAGCTAGGTTTATATGTTTTAACTATCTAATGTGTGGATGTAGAAATCGATGTGGGCCAATCATTTCAAAAACCTTAATAAGGGTAAAAGTGTAATCTTACCTATTAATTAATTTTGATAATTAAGTAAATATTTAATTAATCCCTTTAATTTAAGCAAGATAGTTTAGCCATTTAAAACCCTAACTCACTACATAAACCATGCATCTTGTTCTTTCTTGCGCCTTACCCTTCACATTGCTCGCTCTCTCTCTCTCTCTCTCTCTCTCTCTATATATATATATATATATATATATATATATATATATATATATATATCCATTTCTCGTTTAAAAAGTGTTGATTTGGTTTAAAAAAACAGAGCATCAAAATTTATGATTTGGTTTCTTGACATTCAAATCGTCACCTGATCGATATCAAATTGATTTAGTCTTCAAGGGAGGAAATAAAGAATCGACAACGGTGGAGGCGATGATGGTGGTGGTGGTGGTGGGGGGGGGGGGGAATGGGCTGTTGTTTTCAAATCAGGTTAAAAGGTAAAGAATGAAGGTTATCAGAGGTGGAGAAAGAATAGAACCTGATGTCATTATTAAAGCTGATGAACATCAAAGCTTAACAATTTCATTAGATCCTTAAGAAAAATCACAAAACTATTGTGAGTGGCATCCCTGTTGCCCATAATATCAATGCACCACCGTTGGGCGGTAGAGGTAGGTAATTTAACTTCTAATGTTTATAACCCAACTTTTGCAGGGTTTAATGATATGGAAATATGGAGGTCACTGAGGTATAATCTACTATTTTAACATAATTTTATTTCGATTTCTTGTAGAAAAAATGTCATTTTACATGTTCCCACATATATTCCATGATTTTATACCTAATTCAATCCATTATAATAAGGGATTTATTGTTCAAAGTTTTTGTGTGCTTTTAGACTAGTTACTGTCACTCTACCTAAATTCAACGTTTCTAAACCCTTGACCCAACTGTTCTTCCACACTTGAACACCTTGCTTTAGTTGAGTCGATTATTATCGGGTCATTAAGTATATACACATTCATGCTATAAGTACTTGGTACCATAGAAATCATGGTTACCTTATCACTACACATAATTTTAAATTTCTGATTGAACTGTCCAGACAAGGTTAAACAAATATGTCATTGAATTTTTTCCTTTTTTGGTTATTGTTTTTCAACTTAAATTACATGAATTTGTAAATGATAATAGAATTTTTTATAACAATTTGTCTCTGGATATGGTTTTATAGTATTCCATGGACTTTGTAGTGCCTTATATTTTCTAGATCAAGGCTTGGTTTTTTCATCCATATGTAACACATATAGTAAGAGAGAAACATCATCTAAGTGTTATTTTTAGCGAATATGTACTTGCTTGCATTTATTACCAGATAAACTAGCTTAACTGTTTATCATATTATAAAATTATGGAAGAATTTAAGTTTATGCTAATTTGTAGGGAAAATGTACCTGCTTGTATTTGTTATTGTTTCATAATGGCTTGAAGAATGAATCAAAGATTTATAATACAGGAGAAAGTCTTAGAATTGAGTTTAATAACAAGTTACATTCCTACAACATTTTCATAAGAATAGTTGTAAAGAAGTTGATGATTTGGACCATTGAAGAAGATTAAGTGTATTTGTTCAATAGTTATATATTTGAGAATGTTATTCTTAAGAATTTTAATCATTTTGATGACATTCTATTAAAATATGTATATATTTTATAATGTATCAAACTAATAGTTTATAAAAATATTTATGATTTTGTATTTAAGTTCGGATGTGTATAAATATATAATAATGTTGTTATTATTCAATTGCATGTTCAAGAATTTTATTATTCTTCAATAATATTCTTATAGAATAACATTATTGATGGGTTTTGATCATAACATCATTCTCATGGTGTACATGCAACCCTAATTGCTCTGAATCTAGGTTTTTCTAATTTGAACATACAACTAGGAATACCAAAGCAATAACCCTATGACTAGCATACATATATCGAAAACCACATATGACCTCTGTTGAACACATCAACTTAGTCGTTCTTGATCTTGACTTCTGAAAGCCTAGAGCTCCAAGTGTTACACCTCTAATAGGGTCAATGCAAGGAGGATAACTTAGGAGATAAGGATTTCGGCTAGGGTTCCTTTTTTGAATTATTATGCCAAAAATCCCCTTGTATGGGGTCCTATATATAGCTGTGATTGCTAGGGTTTACAAGTGGAAACCCTAATACCTAACTTAGGCAACAACCGGCTTATGAACTCCTTCATTAGAGCCCATGGACAAAATCTTATGGGCTTCCCCATAAATTTCATCCACTCCACTCTATGGAGTCCATCAGCCCAATTATGCAACTATCAATGATTTGCATAACAATCCCCAAATTATATAATTAGTCTCTTTTGATCACTAAATTAATTCCAAATTAATTTCTAATCAATACTAATTAAATAATATGATTTCCAAATAATATATTAATCTTGTAATATATTAATAAAACCATTTTAAGTACTAATTTATTATTAATATATAAATTCTACTCTTTCTCCTCCTGTCATCCTATCAAGTTTCATGAGCGAAGGCAACCCAAAAAGACCATACCCATAATCAAATAAAGTACATACCAAAAGTAGTTATCGGCTTAGACTCCTAATCCAATAGTCTCCCACTTGGATAAGTCTGATAACTATTATTGCAAGTACGACTTCAAAATCTGATTAGTAATCGTAGCTTTCAAAAGCTGTTGTCGAAATTTGATCTTATCAGCAACGCGGCCTTTAGATAATAGATCATATATTCATCCATTCGCAAGATATCGTATAGACATTAGACATGGATTATAATCATTCTCTCTGTCTATGTGTTGTTTCGCGATTTTCGATTTATGAAGACTGACAATAGACTTCAGTTGAACACATCAACTTAGTCCAGGTTTGGCCAAGCGCTTAGGGTGTCATCACTTAATCATCGAGGGGCCCACATATATCGCTTTTATCCAACTTTGGGTAAAAGGAACAGATAAACATCGACTCATATGCTTGCATTATTTACTCATCAAATTATACACACCAATACTTTTTATAACATCAAGTTACTGATGTGTTTACGCATTATCAATGTGCAACCGACTCGCAAAAAACAACTCATATCTCTCCGTTTCAAGAATATAAGATATTATCGTCTCACAATCACTCGTGATAAAATCCATGAAGTGATTCACGTGAGCATAGGTTTAATCCAATACTCAAAATCTTATTTCAGGAGAACTCATGAACACTACAACAAACTTTTACTACGTCCAAACGCTTTAGACAATCTACAGTCGGATTCATGATAGTGTTACCTCATTACCTACTTCCAAAGTATGATTGACTGTGGATGTTTGAATAACCTAGTTATTCGGGGAGTCAAAACATATGAAGTGAAACACAAGAATAATCGAATCCAATATGGTCTCAACACTTTTTGAGCATAAATAAAACACCTTTTATTTAAATCACCATATTCATTACACATTATTCATTGTATAATGTTTCGAGTAATCAACTTAATACTTAAATTGAAACGATAGTCATCCCATGCTCCAAGCATGCACACTACATTTACCTATGGTCCTTACTTTGTGAAATAAATCAATTGAACACATTTCCAACGATGCCCATTTCAAAATTCTCAATCCTTATCACAAGTGTATGAAATTCTTGCTATGTGTTAGATTCTAACATTTTACGAATGATCCTTTTGTAATGACATAGCACCAAAGTCACAAAGACTTTGCCAATGATATTACAAAGTGCTCTATTAAAGATTGTTACAAGACAACTCCATAGATATGAAGTCTCACATTCAAGTACATTCCTTTGAACATCCTTATTGCATAAAAGTTTCTAATCTACATAGATTCTTAATATCCAACTCACATTATTGAAAACATTTCCATATTTTCCATATTTTCCATATGACAACTCATTCTTAATAGAATCCTATCTATTCATAATAATGTGAATATGTTCCATTCATTAATATACTTCCAACTGCCCACAAGTGACAAATCCTTAGTGAACCTTAGATCGTCCTTGACAGTTGTTTAACTACTTTAGTCATATCCGATTCTGGTCATTTTTCCATCTTAATGCCTTAGGCATTTGAAATAGACAGAACGGTCAAATATTACATCATATGTAATCGATCCTATACCCGAAGCGTATGGGACGATACATAATGTCTTACATAAAGACATAATACTTTACTAGCCTCCTGCTATAATATTGTCATATATAGAATTTCCTTATGTTGAACCTTTTCAAAATAACATTCATATATGTCCTTTGACTAAATTTGATTACAATTTCTCGATCTAAGCTTTTGGATTTGAAAATGAAGTATAAATTTCTCTCCCTTAATTTTAGCAAAACAACTTTTCAACCT